CAGGCAGGGCTTGGGAGCCACGTGAGGAATAGCGAGGGGGACTGTGCTTGATCAGAACACCAGCCCCATGGCCAATGAATGGGGGACTGGGACTACACTCCCCTMCACGCCACCCCAAACAGGGGGCTGGAATGTCTCTCCCTTGGCATTGCATTTTGAAAGATGTGTCTGGCAAGATAGCTAGCTGACTTTGGCAGGCACTGCCATCAGTGTGATAATTAATTAAAGCTCAGTTGAGAAATTCACAGCATGAGCTTACTCCACAACAAGATCTGCAGCTCAGTCTCAGTGCAGAGCATCCTGCTCTATTCACTATCTCTATTTTTTTTTTTTAAGGAATCAGTAGCTTACATTGTGCACTGCAAATAAGAGAATGTGATGAAGAGGAATGAATCCTTGTGCTAATCAATGAGAGGACCTTGTCTGTGAGATAAGGAAACAGAACAGCAAGTGATATCACAGCAATAGAACAGACAAACACGAGAAGACATAATAGCTAAAAGCTATTTTACACAAACCTGGTCCTGCTTCCTATGTGACACCTMAGACTGAAAGAACCTTTCTGCGAAACAGGAAAGTAAGCAGGAGGAACAGGTGTCCCATTTATTGCAGTCAGAGCTGCAGCTGCTGCACAGCTCCCTGTGCTTCTGTGTCTTCAGCTGGGCTCTTCCAASTCCCAGCAGTGAAGCTGCACATGTCATGTTCCTGAAGAGACACCCAGGTGGCTCCTGCTGTCACCTTTCCCACTGCTGCTCATTTAGGGAGATTCAGGATAAGCACCTCCCACAAACATTGGTGCAACTGTGCTTCTCCTCTGCCTGCACACCTGCCTGTCACTGGGCTGTCCCTGCCACTACTGCAAGGTGCCTGTGGCCCTCGCTCAGTGCCAGTGTGGAAAAGCAGCAAATACTGGGACACAAAAAGGATCTGTTGGTGAGTGTTGGTGGGACAGGCTCACTGCTCAACCTCCAGCCCTTGCAGGTCTGGATATTTTGTTGCTCCTTACCTGAAAGCAAGAGGCTCAGCCCAGGACAATGGGACCTCAGTTGCATGTGAAGTTATTGCTGCAGCCCAGTTAGTGGTTACTGAAACAGGCGAGGAAGAGTAATTTTTTTATTCCCAAACTGGGGCTTCATTAAAAATGGACAATTTTCAGAAAAATAAATTTTAAAAAAGATTTCATTTATACCTTTGAATAAACTAAAAGTAGGAGAAAAGGATCCTTTTTGTTTGTGTCTTTGAACTGAGTAATACATAAATATTCTGGAAGCTTACTCTGACTTTTTGGCTTTATTTTCACTATTTTTCTTCCGGGTGGAGAAGGTAAAAATTCAAATATTTA